CTTGACTGCTTTTATGCACATCATTTCATTTAAAAATCACAACAATCTTTGAACGTTATTATTCTCATTAACGCATGAGGAATTTAAAGCCCAGTGATCTTATTAACTTACTTCAGATTATGGACACCCTTTGCCATAAAGGTTGCCATATCTACCTGATACCTTTTCATCAAAATAAGTTTTCCTTTATTTTATTGATTTTTTTTAAATTTAAGAATAATTGGGGGGTATAGAAAGCACAGAGTTCAAAGTATATTTGAACATTCAACATATTTTTTTTTCTTCTAGGCATCCAGGACACATAAGTGAACAGAACTGAACAAAGATTCCTGCCTGTACCACCCAATTCTAGCTGGGGAAGACACACAATAAGTATAACTGAATAAATTATATATTGTGTTAATATACGAGAAGTCCTATGGGGAAAAAAAGTAAAGCTGAGCAGGGCGTAAAGCTGGGAGTGTTGGGGTAGAGGTTAGGTTGCTATATTAAATAGCATGGTCACAGTAGGCTGCATTGAGAAAGTGAAATTTGAGCAAAAACTTGAAGGAGGTGAAGGAGTTAACCATCCAGATATCAGAGAAGAGCACTCCATGCAGGGTGACTAGCCAGTGCAAAGACACTAAAACAGGATCATACCTAAAGTGTTTGAGCGATAACAAGTAGGCCAGTGTAAATGAAGTAGAGGGCTTAAGGGGGAGAGTAGTAGAAAATGAGGTCAGAGAGATAATGGGATGGGAGAGTGGGGCAGATCCCAAAGGGATCCGTAGGCTCTTGTAAATATTTTTTCCACTACACTGAGAAAATGGAGAGCCACGGTAGGCTTTTGAGCAAAAAAGTGACATGATCTGACATTTTTTCTGGGAATATTGTGGCTACCCAGACTACAGGGGCCAAAAGGAGGTGCGAGAGACCAGTTAGAAGCTTGTTGAGTAAAACGGGTGAGAAAATGGAGGTCCAGATCATAGTGGTGGCAGCAGAGATGATAAGATCTGTCTGCTTCTGGATATACTTTGAAGATAGAGTCAACAGGGGTTTCTGACAAACTGGAGGTGCAGTATGAGAGAAATAGAGGAATCAAGGATGGCACTGAAGTTTATGTTTTGGAATGATGGACTTGCCATCAACTGAGATGGGGAAGGCTATGAGTGGAAACAGATTTTATAGGGAAAGATTTTTTTTTAGGAATTCAGTTTTGCACATGTTGAGTTTGAGGTCAATATTAGACATCTAAATGGAGATAATGAGTATTTACTGAGCACCTATGCAATAGATACATCATTTATCCTCCTCTCCCTCTTGCTAATGCAAATAACCACAGAATTGGAAGTTGAAAAGTACTAATTTATTTGGAATGTCAGGAAGTGTGTTATGTACAACAATTCCAATAAACCATTATTCTCATTTCTAAAAGGTATGGAACCTAAATAAGGAATGTGGATGTCAACATATGAGACTGATACAAATCTGGCACGTGTTAGTGATTCAAGGTTTACCCAGAGGCTGTCCGCATAAACCAGCTTAGCTCAGGGTCCTCTGAAGAAGGGCCCAATAACCATTTTTTAATATTGATGATGATGCTAATGATCTTATAGATGGTAGTAGAAGTTTGACCGTTGGTAGAGGGTATCTGAATAGGGAAGAATCTAATGTAGTATGAAAATGCACAATCAACACTTCAAATAGTTTGCTTTTTATTGAGAGATTTAATTTACTTTGATATTTCAAAAACAAAATAAAATGATGTGAGATATTTATACATATTGAAAAACTAATCCTAGGAGATGGTGGGAGCCAGGTTTCTCAC